ATGTTCTCTGATATATTCGATTTCCTTTACCGTGTACAGAGAGTGGAAAGAGAAACTTGTAGTTGAAAAGAGAGCAAAACTTCAACTACAGCATAAGTTAGTGATGCCAAATGCAGAGTAAATAATTGCAAACGTAAAGCAAATGGAGATATGTCACCACATCAAATGTGCTATAACTTAATAAACATGCAACAATCGAAATGAATTGAATATTTTCCCAACATCAGTCCGTGATACAACCATTTTCAAAGCGTCCAATATTTTGAGAATGAGGCAAACGGTAAACACAAGCGACGATGATAAAATGGCAAAATGTTTAAACACATTTTATCGATACGCAATCAAAATATGGAAAAACAACTGTCGACAGCATATTTCAGATTGTAAAGGATATTTTGCTGTTTTATGTGTGTCCACTTCGCTTTTCCGATACACACAACCGATTTGCCTTCCATTCTCTTCCGATCTCCAAATAAATCGATATACACAAAACAGGTTTCCCTCTGAATCACGCTTCACATTCAGGAATATCCCATTCTCGGTATTGACTACAATGTTCATGTGCATCATTACGATTTTCCAACGATTCGAAATTCCGAATCAAGATTGCTTGAGATTGGCCAATCATTTTATAATGAAACCCAATCTCGGCTAATTTTTGAACTTCAACATATTTCAGACGCAACACATTTCCGTTTAGGATATTGAAGTGACACTTTTTTCTGTAACAAATGAGCCATACCTTTTATCGGCACAAAAATGGACACATGAAAAGTCAAACTAAATTATCTTCACATGTAAGCATTCTAAAACGCAGCGGTGTTCAGCCCATTCTGACCGATACATTTTCATAGATATTTTTTTTCGTTCACATGAACATTGGTGTTGTGCCGTCGTCGTCGACTCACAATAAAATATGTGTTGTGGCAAAGCCGCTCGCTTTTCCATATAGCCTCTTTACACGTTCGAAGGTTTTCTTTGTCGTCTCGTTTGAAAGCCACTGCAGGATATTTATTATCGTCATTAGAGCCACAGCCAACCTTATCAGACGGTGTTAAGGAGTTGTACACCATTGTGATTAATCATTACCAACACTACAGATAAGATCGACCGCTTGTGCTTTAATCGTTTGTTGTTAGTTTTTTTTTTCTCGCTGGGTGCTGGTGCTGTTTCTCCATTGTGCACACATACACAGCCGAGGAAATTGCTATGTGGCAAAAGAATGAAATGGCATGGAATCGAAAGAAGGACATGAATAATGATAAAGCGCAAAAATCCGATTTCACAAGCCGGTGAGGCTTTGTTCACTTTTTTGTTCGCTCTTCGATGCCATAACGAGCCTCAATTGTCACTCTTTCGACAACAAAAGGCTTCTTGAATAGAAAAATGTACCCAATGTCGTCACTCGCGCTCGGTAATTATCATTACGGATTCTCTCTCTCTCACTCATTCTTCGTTCGAGTCGTTCACACGACGCGTCGATTGTCCTTCACGCTTTTTCGCGGTTGATTCTCACACAGCAAGTGTGATCCATTTGCGTGGATGAATTAAGCATACGAGTCGAATCGATTTCGATAGATGCTTTCAATGGCCACATTGTTGTATACCAACGATAGATGTATATTAGAAAATTGCCCCTAATTTTAGACGCTGAGTGATATATTGAATTAATAATATGGCAGTTTTCATCCATTTCGAACTGAAATCGGTTTGATGTAGGTTCAAAATATCCATTTCAATTACATTCAATCCACTGTGAAGTGACGTGCCATTTTTAGCTGGACGGTAAAATTTCTCCACGAAAAATTCCAGACTTTTAAAATTCTATTTTCTAATTAGATGTTTGGCGATTGAAATTTTCAATTGGACATTCAATTAAAGTCATATTTGGTGGCAAAACTCGGTGTATTCCAACTCCAGAATTTCAATCAGCTAATCAAAAATCTAAATTTAAAATTCAATTTCATGTTTGCAAATAATTTATTGGCGAAATCGTAGCGCGAGTATGTTTAAAAAAAGAGGCTTTTGAGCGAGTGGATGAAGTCCATCTGATCGAAAATTATTCATAGATAAATAGTCAAAAAATGATTTATGACTTATGGCTGCTGTTGTTGTTGTCTTTTTTCTGTATCGGTTGCCATTTCTATTTTCCGAGGTTCAATATTTTACTTCGGTGATGAATTTCACTAATTTAAAAACGTATCTTCACTCTTCGATTTCGGAAAGTGTATCGGTTCCAATGGGGTTGTGTTTTTGTGTGATTCGATTGCGAAAAATGCATCGAAAGTCGGCAATGCATGAATGACGAGCGGTAAAACGATGGAAAAAAGTGTGGCATTATGGGAACGATCGGTAACAGTGTGACAGTGGGCAAGCGATGATTTATGATGCAAAAATCAAAAAGTTGCAAAAATTCGTTCCGTTTTTGACTGGTCAACGTTTTTTTGTACCCTATCCCCTCAGTTCCACTCTCATCCTTTCTACAGCTAACATATGGGAAAAAATACGATCAAATGAAGGTAGGCATAGGCAAACGCATCGAACAGATATTACATTTATGGGACGATCATAAATTATATTTGATTATGAAATTCGTCATATGTTACGCTGAATGCTGGGTTTTTTCCGGTCTCGACCACTTTTTTAACTCTCGCTGTCGAGAGGAAAAAATATGCCAATCGAAGCAGAGCGACACTGTGTATAGTGAAGCCGGCATCAAACATACGTAAAAAGTGTACTTATCAGCAAAATGCATGTGGAATTTTTTTTCTCTTGGTTTTGATGTGTCTATATATGTGCTCAATTGGAAATATCGTCCAGTGGCGGAAAACTGTCCTGGTGTGTGAAGACCAGAAGTGTTCGAATGAATCATCGGTCAAATGTATGGCGTTGATATTGGTGTGGTTAGTGCACATTTGCGGTGCAGTGCCGAGGGAAAAGTCTATGAAAGAGTCTGAACAGCACTCGTAGTCAGTCAGAGTGTGTGTGTCTTAGGTGAGTAGAGGAAAAAAAATTCTGTCGTAGCCATTAAACTGAACCCCGTTTTGTACCACAGTTTCATTCCTTTTTTTGCCATTTTAACCCATTACATCCGGACTTGCATCATTTACATTTTAAAAATTTTGCATACACTGAAAAAAAGCGGTTGTCGTCTACGAAACCAGCCATCGCCGGCTGCACGTAAGTCATGTGTAAACGGGCAAAGGCAAACTGCGAGGGTGTGCATTCCTATAGTAAAACTAGTGGCGTTCATATTATTACGTTGACTGGTGAGAACGGAACATATATGATAATAAACGAATCGGTTGTATGTGTGAGGTAGCAGAGGCAGCAGCACATTTATTTCCATGATTGTGTGGCGTTTTGTGTATTTTTGCACTCACTCGAGAGAATCACGGTAATGACTCCCTGGTGCTACACAGTTGCTATTGTTTAATACGTCGTTAAACAGAGGGAAAAAATCACACACAACAGCATACATTGCAATGGCAGCGAGCCTGATATTCACAGAGCTAGTGAACTGAACGGTCTATGAATTCCACACATAATATTTTTCTATTGTTGACGGTTTTGTTTAACTCATCGCTCAAATCACATGGAATATTTCCACAAAATGAGCGCAACCAACAGCCGAACGACACATCGACGAAGCGAAACAGTGCGCTTACAATGGACTTTGCTGTGAAATTGAATGAAAGAGAGAGAGAGAGAGAGAGTGTGTGTGTGTGTGCACTGCAAAAGCTGACTGAAAGCAAAAATTGCAAAATTCAAAATGCGCTCCACAGCGCATTTCAACTCAGTTTCTCTCTTTCTCTCTTCCTCTCTTTCTCATTTCGTTCCAGCCAAACGGGGCACAAAAATAACACTAAACTGACTGCGTGAAGCCCATTATCATGAAAAACAATCTGTTTTTATTATGTTTGATGCCACTTGCCGTGCAACTCGTTCGTGTTGCGGTTTTCAAAGCATTCACTCGTTTTCGCCCAGTCGCAGGGCAACCGAAAGAGTGCTTTTCGTGCTTCGAACACTTTCTACATGGTGAAAATTGGAGAGAGAGAGAGAGAGAGAGAGAAACTCACGTAAAAAATATGCATTGAGAAAAACGCGGTCCCAAGTTGAAATAACACTTTACCACAAAAACATTTCCACATTTCTCTACACACACATAGCGAGTATTGTGTAGCTTGGAGTTGAAATTTTATGCAGTCATCATAGCAGTCAGGCACTCATTTTATTCCAGTGTAAATAAAATGTTAAAAGTGAACTACAATCGTTGTTTAGCACAATCGAAATCGGAGCATGTACACAGTGGTGATGGCAGCACGAGCAGAAGTGGCACCAACGGCATTATCGAATATGGAACGATGGTGAAATGCATTCAAAAAAGTGCCATGTTTGTGGTAATGGATATGAAGTTTTCCAACATGTAGATTCATTTTCAATGCATACCCACACTCGATCACGCTCGTTCGCTTCGCTCTGTTGTGCTTTTCATAACGTTCACATCCCAAAAACATCACGAAATTAAAACTCACAATACAAAATGAGAAGGAAGACAGAAGAAAAAACACCACCCAGAGAGAGAAAGCAGTGGACACAAAATGCAAAACGATGTGAACAAAACCGAAAACGAGAATTAAATAAAGCGTGAACTATTGCATTAAACCCATTTGAATTCCATTTTAAATGTTCTACACATCGTTTTATTAGGAAAATCTGTGTAACATTCGACTCGATTGCTGCTGCTGCCTTTGCTTCTGATTGTCGGAATGTGCGTTTGTGTAGGAGCTTCAGGTGAGCTCCCGGTGAGTTAATTGAATTCCGTGCGATTCCAGTGAAATGTATAATGATGTTTATTAGGATCAAAGGATGGTTTGCGTATGTTTTTTTGTTTGTTCAACGCCGCCACCGCAACAAAATCAAATTACAAAATGGATTGTTAAATGCTATAGTTAAGTGAGTTCCATCCGCGGGAAAATTGTAATAATTTCAACCCTTACCTTCGAAGACGGTGAGTGTAGCTTCGGCTGAAACGGCATCACCTACGCCATTTTCAGCGACGCACTCATACGGCGCATCATCTCGGCCGGCTCGTACTGGTTCAATACGCAATATAGACTGTCCGTTCATTTGTTGTACCGAATATCGGCTTTGTGTTCCCGATACCTTTTTGCCATTCTTACGCCATACTATCGTCGGAATTGGATCACCTCGGGCTGCACAGAAAAAACTGGCGACGCCTCCCACTCGAACGGATTGATTAATCGGTCGTTTCGTTATTTCCGGAGGATCTATAAATGAGACAAAAAGAAAAACAATTACCACGTTGAAAAAAACATACGTATGTCATCGAAATTGATTTCGAACCAGAGAAGAACCATTATCACTTCGAGAGTTATGCAAACATAACTTTGTCATTCATTGAAAAAATTCGAAAATTCAATAACAATTGCAATAATCTCATTAACATATATTTAACATGGATGAACCCATCAATTGGATTTCAAGAGCTATGTTCAATGTCCAGCCAAATCGAGCGGCTGAAATTCGTCATAAAAAATGGTCGAGAGTGTCAGATTATGGTAATGATAAAATTCAATTTTAAAATCATCATTATTCATTCATTGATTTCCATCAAAAATCTCCTCCCATGAACAAATGATCCGCGAAGCGCGCTTTAACAAACAAATATGATGAACGATGATGCATTTTTTATGCCATTTAATGCAATTGTTATTGAATTTTTCCTTTGTTTTCCATTGCTAATTGAATTTGTCCTGTGAAATATTGTCGTTGGTTAAAACGATTTAAAAAAAAATATAATTTTTGTTTTTATGTTCAATAAAAAAATCCAATTTTTTGGATTGATGTGTGTGTTTTTATCCCAAACTTACGTGTTAGATACTGTATATATGGAAATTCAGAAAAATTTCCATCTGCAACGAAGTTGTGGAATAGTAAAGTTGTTAAGTTTATATCGGTTTATGCACTCGGGTTTTTTTATAGGTTATTTTTTTTTTGTTTGGTTTTAAGCGTTTTATGTTTTAGTTTTTAGATTTTATTACATTTAAATTGTTTTATGGAGTGTTGTTTAATAGGTTTGTGTATGTGAATTGGTGGCATTTTGGTAATTTGGCAAAGTTTTCCTCACCACAGACAAAATGATTCGGTAGCAAGAAAAATGTTCTTTTTTGGGGGGAAATGGGGAGGAATATATGGATGGAGAAAATTGAGGATACGAAAATTGCAATGAAGAATTTCCTAATTTAGTGTTTCATTTATTTATTGCATACTTTGGGCTATCATAAAATTGTCAAATTTATGTGTATGTGAAACAGAAAGACCATATAGCAAAAATCTGAGTGGCTGAACGTAGCAGCGCCCGTTTCCTCGCTGACAACATTCGGTTAAATGGTGGTGCCATCGCTTTATTTCGACTTCAGCACGATGATAAATGCACGACAGTGTGCCTTAAGTAACTATATATATTTTCAAGTGTCTGTATAATATGGAACTGTGTATCGATGTGGGTCTGCATATATATATATATATGTGTGTGTGTGTGTACTGTGTGTGCGCTAGTAATTTATTTTAGCTCACACTTTCCACCATTTAATTCAATTCAATGCACCAAATGAGACCGTTGCGAATAGTAGTAACACGCAAAAAAACAACGTATGCGCCCACACCACCGACAACGACAACAGCGATGAGCTAGTTGGCTTTTTTCCCATTGGAACAATACGTTCGGATGTTATAATTTAGTTTTTGAACCATTACGAATATTAATATTGTGAAAATTTATCACACCCTTGAGGCGATATCACATAAAATCTTCGTAAATATACATGCTAACGACTCATACATTTTACCACACAGACACATACACACTAGCGCATGCCAAATGTTTGAATTCGTCTGCATTTACAAAAATACACACGAATACTTTTCAGGGCAGACATTCTTCTAGTCACCAAAGTTAAAACTAAAAGTGTTCAACCTCATTTCCAACTTCAAACATTTCAAGTGAATGATTTTATCACTTTTAGTTAAAATCCAGCCGGAGGACAAAAACTTATCAGTCAAAATGTGTGTTTATGATTTTTTGGTGCTGCTGCTGCTGCTGCTGCTGTTGTTGTCTTCGTCTTCATTTCATTTGAGCCAGTCGTTGGCTGTGATAAATTAGAAGTTGATGGCTCTGATGGCCCGGTGTATAAGTAAAAGGTATGACATTCGTATGCAACATACCGTTTAAATTGAGACACTTTTAATGGCAATAAAATAGAGGTAATATTTCTTCTCAAACCATTTATCTTTATGTGTGTGTGTGTGTGTGTGATGTGATGTGAAAATGCACATCGCTTGTTGATGTCAACAGAGAATGAATGCATCGCTCACAGCGGCTGAAAATTCACACACACGTACACACGTCCACACGTACACGCACACATACACGAAATGTCGTCAAAGATAAAATTATTCATAATTTAAGCAAACGATTTCGTCTAGTGTTGCTACCAATCCAAAATGCCATCTGCTGTGCATGTTCATTTTATTTCATTCATAGCCATTGTCATCTCTCTCAATATTTTCTACACAAACAGAATGCCGTCGACTAAAGAGAAGGACCGAGTCAGATTCAAAGACAGATACCGAGAAATAGACAGAGACAGATGGAGAAAAAGAGTTGCTGGTAGTTTACCAACAACACACACGATCATACGACGCTGGAATTCAAGGTCGAATGAACCGAATTATTTACCGAATTATTGTAGTGAATTTGCCAAAAAGAGATACAATCACACTCGAGCTGTGTGTATCTGGCTTCTGGTTTGAAATCCAGTTCAAGCAATCATATCCAGCTCAAGTAGAAGGCACTGGAATGCCCGACTTAAAAAGGAGATTCTCGGAATGTGTGTTTGTGTGTTGTTGTCGTCAAATATTGCTGAAACATATATTTCGGTTGTGTGATGTTTGCGCTTATGATTATGTCAACTGGTACAAACATAATTCATATATTCATCAAGATCACACATGTAATTCGGGTTGACATACCGAAAACGAGAAGAGTGGATGTTTTTGATGAAGACACTTTGTCATTTGGTCTATTCAATTTCGGACTGACACACATGCTCCAGCTTGAATACGGCAAACACACACACACCCGCAAACACTGTATAAATTTATTGAGTTTTCGGCTGACGCTCTCCATGGCAAATCATGTATGCCATTGCAGAAAAAGCGTCTGAAATTAAATATGCACCATATGCTGTTTGTGCTCTCGGCTCTGTCTAACTCACTCACTGAATCGTTCTCATATTCATTTCCATGAACCGGGGCATTTTGCATGGGAATCAGGGTCAGCACTTCACAACAAAATTAAAATTTACCAAACTAACGAAAACTGATGTGTATCAGCCGAAAAGATCAAAAGTTTGCACAAAAAATGGTGCTGTGCAACTAACCAACATGTTTTATAACCCGTGTCTCTATCTCTATCTCTATGTCATTTGTCGTATGAATTTAATTAATTTAATTTTGCTGAAATTCCACCGATTTATCAACTTCAGCCCATAATCCCAAATGGAAGCTTTTTCCAGAACTTTTCGACCGGTTAAGCTCGAGCCATTTTAATAATTTACATATTTAAAACCAACCGAACAGCCGAAAAGAGATGAGAGAAAGTGAAAAAAAAAGACAGAAGCTGCTGTAGCATTCATCGTTGGACAGAGAAAAAAATATTTTGCGATTGTCATTCAAGATAAACGGAACAATGGAGAGAAAAATGATATCAACAATGATGATGATTACACGAAACAAACGAACGGCGAACGATACCAGCATATGAATCATAGCATTAGAGAGAGAGAAAGAGAGCGCAACTATGCTAAGTTATTATATACGTACACATATGAAAGGCGACAAGCAGCATCGTGTTGAGGGTAATAAAGAAGGTTAAAGTAACAGCGGCAGTTATATTCATAACACGTTGTAAATATTGCTGAATACAAGCTTTATGGCCCCAAATGATTTGGCTCATATTGCCCGGGATATGCTTTTTTCCTCTCTCTATCTCCCATTTCGTTCGTTCTCCTTTTCATCGAAGAGATTCCGCTTTCTTTGCACAATTTCTCGGCATGTAATTTTTTTTTCTTCGTTGGCCCATCATTGCCTTGAAACGCACAAGCATACACACACACACACACACACACACACAAAACTACCTAAATAGTCTCTCAGATGTGTGCAGATGCATGAAAGAACAAAAATATGTTGCCTTTCGCATACATGCGAAATGATATGTTACAATCCCGAATGAAGATGGCATTTGAGTTATGAAAGACAAGCAAACACGTATGTGTTTAAGCTAGTTTTCTGGTGGGGAGGCGAGAATGGATAGCAATTGAATTCAAATCGTACGCGAAATCGAATCCATGGGCGAACGCGCACCGTGTGTATTCATGGGGATGTGGATGTGTGTGTAAAGCGTATTATCACTTTGGTGAATATCGTTCGCCTCAAAATGGCTCATTCGCACACACAATATATTACGTTTAATACACATCGATGCGAAATGGAAAACAATGGACACATTGGCATTATGATCACGTAGCGGGCTTTTATTTTAACATACGTAAAATATCATGGGTGCTTTTTCTTTTTGTTCGCTCCAGATGCAGCTTTCTTTGTGTCTCTCATTGAGAACCGCCCAACGAATTCAACCTTTCTTTCCCCAACCATTTAAAGGTAAGTTTCACGCAAAAATTATGGCACTTTTTTTTCTATACGCGTGTACACTGTACAGTGTACATTATCGCCCAGCTACCGAAAAACTTGGGCAAAGTGGTTTTTTGATCTATGTGCGCTATCCTTATACACGCGTTGATCGTCTGTGTTTGTGTTTGCCGCGTGGTGTCCTTTGGCATGAACGAACAAATGAAACGAGATATCAGTAGTCAAAATATGAAATGCAATTCGTACGCTTTGAAAATCGATTCCGAAAGGATTTATTGATGTTGAAAGCAAGTTTATCCAACAGCAGCCCGTCGTCAATCCTTTCTTTCGGTTTTGCTGTATTGGTTTTCGGTGTGTAAGTTTTTAATTTAAATTGTTTACAAACTTAAGCTGAAGCCTTCATCAAGTGCTTTATTTGCGCTGCTGCTGCTATTGCTTTGGGTTTTATGTTGATATTATGTGCAATTGAATCTCGGTTTTTATGTGCAAGCAGTATCATTTTAGTTGGAACACTTGAAAATCTACACTCAACTACGTAAACGCGTGCACACACATGAGCGCGCGCGTTCTTCTCTCCCAGCACACACATGCACGTATTTTTAGTGTAAAATCGATTTTAATGCTTTTGTCACCAGAGCCGCTTCAACACAATCTTCTTGGTTTCTCTTTCTCTCGCTCTCTCTTTCCGACTCCTTCTCGGAGCACATTCTAACTCTGGTTGCGTCGTGTCTTGGCCCGGATATTTTACGATTTCGTTTACAACGGCATTAGTGTTTGGTTTGGCACGAGCACTTTAAGAAGCATTAAACAACCTCATACGACAGGCGAATTCATATCAAACAGTAGAAAATTCATGGCATTTCAAGCGCACATCAAACGGAGCCATACATTTGCACAATGCCACGACAACATACACAGAGAGAGAGGGACAGAGAGAGGGACAGAGAGAGGGAGAGCAGAATATATCGTTTAAAGAGCTTTGCGAGTTTTGAATCGAGACGACGCACTCCCTCTGTCTCGTGTTGGTTCCACACTCTGTCTCTTGCTCTAACTCTCCGGGAATTCTTGGGAATGAGATTAATAGTAGCAATGATGATGCACATTTCACTTGCACAACATCCGCATCGCACATAAACATTCCCTCTTCCCTTCTGTCGCCCATACCATCTCTCTTAAACTAAAATATTCAATCTCAATATTA